GGCCGTACAGGTACCCACAGACCCCGCGCCGGGAACCGGCACTGCGAGAGCCCGAGCGCAAAAGCGCTCCTCGAAGCAGCACCAGCGGGCAGGTCCCGGGAAAGCGGCAGCCTCTCCTGGTGGCACTGGCGAGCTCTCCGCGACTGCTGGGTTGCTTGCAATTTGGGGCACAGTACTGCAGCGCTTGGCACCTCTGGAAAAAGAGCAAACCCAAACACCTAACTAGAAAGATTCCAAGCTCAGGAATTTGTATTCTTAAATGTCTCTTGATTTAGAAAGAAAAATCTACACATTGGCTGTGGCTTTCAGCTTTTCCACAGCATTCAGCCTCTTCATAAATTATGAATTTATCATCTGATAGATCTGCCCTACCACCTTATCCTGGTTTTACAAATAAGAACCTACTGCCTGCACACGACCCGATCCAAATCATGCTTGAAGTCGGCGGGATCTCCCGGCCATTCCCACAGGGCGTGCGGCAGAGCTGGGCAAGCGTGCTTCCAAATTGCCCAAATGGTCATCATCCAGTACTTTGTGACACTATTTCACCCTCTGGCCATGAACCTGAAGAAAGCTTGGTAGAGGGCTCTGCTGATACACTACAACATACAACCACACTCCCGTGGAGTCTCAGTTAATCACGTAGTAAGCCGATTGTGTCTTTTATATGCCAATTTATCTAACACGCAGCAGCTAGTCAGCCCGGCAGTGACTGCGCTGCTTCGGGTTCTCCACGCTGCAGAGCAGATACCATCCCATTTAAACCTGTATAGTAAGGAAGCATTTAGCTCTGAAGGTACATTTACAGTACAAGAATTTTCTTTTCTGAGCTAAATCCTGATGTTTTACTCCTTCCCTAATCTTGCTCCCTAGGAAATGTACAAATCTGGAGTCTTTATCAGCTGGGGGTGTGGGAGGGCAGTTTTAGATGAAGCTTTTAGAACTGCATTGCTCTCCTCTTGAGAAGAAACATCAGCAATTTAGAGAAATTTAAAAGCTAAATGAAGTCCTTAAGTGTTCCCCTTAGTCACTTCCAAACTTTTTTTCTAATCCCTTTGAACTCCATCCTCTGTAGTTTAGTCAACAGCTTGTGTAGGATTAATTTTTTCCATCCCAGTTACAAGATACTGTGTATGTTTATACATATTACATACACACACACGAACGTCCATCACAGAATAAATTAAAAAGCCTAAGCCTTATAAAGAGCCATAACAATTTCAAATTGTCTGGAATCAAGAATAAAGGAATTAGTAGCATGATTAAGGCTGAAGTCAGAAAGCACATCTCCAACCTAATTCCTGAAGGGCTTTGCTGAAAACTTCAATCTCAGTTTTCAGGCAATTGCCCCTGGTTTGGTACGTGTCTTCCAGTGGGAAGACAGCGGCTTTGTTTTTGTTGTTTTAATTGAAGCCACATCCCCATGAGTGGTTCCCTCCTTCAGCCAGCTCCAATCTCCCTAATTATGCAGCAGCAAACAAAAGCATGCCAGCAAAGAGGCCGTTAAATCAGCCAGGCACACAGCCCTGGAAGGTCTGCGTGTTTCCACGACCCTAAGCACGCATCTCCCCCCGCCCCGCCACAGAACAGGGCAGGCTCCGGGGACACGGAGCACTGCCAGCAGCTCCATTACCTCCAGCACCCACGCACGGCCCCGGATCAGCCTTAGGCAGCACCGCCGCGCCCCTCGCTCCACCTGCAGCGCGGGGGGGCCGGGGTTGCTGGAGAACCCACCCCGGGAGGGGTGCTCCAGGCCACCCCAAGCGGGGCACCCAGCCCCGGCTGGCCAGGGGGCCCCGGCAGCGAGGGCCAGGCTCACCCCGCGGCATCGCACGGCAGGCGAGCGCCTGGCTCGGACAGGGCATTCCTACCGCAGTCAGTAACAGGGCCTCATCAGACCCAGGACAGGGAGCCACAGCCCTGCAGCCGCCCCCGTAACACGCACTGACGCTGGACTAAGGGGAAGCTCCCAAAATCAACCGGCTCTTGCTCAAGAGCTAGCTGCTAGCAAGAGCTGCAGAGAGAAAGCAAGGCACCTCCTTGGATCCCCCTCGAAAGCACTGCCAGAGACCGCGCTTGGCGGTACAAACAATTGCTTGGCTCGAGGGTTAAGAATAGAGTATGTCTGAAAGGGCAAATCTACAGACGTCTGAGAGAAGCAGGGCAACCACCTGGCGGCTGGGAATGCATGGGCCACGAAGCAGCTCAGGAAACTTGCCCAGAAATGCTCAAAACCCCATTGCTTTTACCAATTCCTAGTCCTAACAAAGCACTTGGGGAGCTGCCGATGAAAACTGCCTTATAGAACAGGAAAGGATCCTTTGTTTTGGGGGTATGGACACGAGTTGCAGAGGGTAACCATAGCACAGCCAGGTCGTTAGCAAAACACAAGCAATAACATCTATGAAAAACACAAGGCCGCAATGGGCTACAGGAAACTGCATTTGTCTACTAAACGCTCCCATGCCCAGAGAAACGCACACGCTAACAGAACACGGCTGACATCTCTGCAATGGTGCCAAGGGTGTCATCTGCACAGAGACTGCACTCGCGTAGAGAAGATGTTTCATACTGCCTGTAGCAGCTTTGCACAAGCAGCACTAGCTGCAGATACCCTTACTGGAATTTGTATGATGCTGAAGAGCAGCATTATTGGAATGCACAGGACTGCAACCCGCCAGTTTTAAGTTAAGAGTTTTTAAGTTAAGAGTTGTGAAGGCAGAGTATGTATCACATGCCTTGGTGCAGCATTTCTGTTTGTTCTTACAGCACCTTCCCATTTTCACTGTGGAAATGGAGCACGTGACTCCACCACACACCCAAGGTTAGGACAGTATTTCACATTACAGGACTGCTTTTCCACTTCTGGGATTAAGGCAAAAAGATGCATGCTGAGGATGGACAGAAGGAACACACAGAGGACGGCAGCAGACATAGCAGCAAAACCCTCTCCACTGCCACATTGCTGCAGTCTGCCATCAGTCCTTTTGTTGGGGTGGGTGAGAGGAGATGAGCTGTTGTGGGATGAGAGCTGGGCATTTTGTGACTGAAGTGTATCAGGGCTACTCAGCTGCACTTCAGCACTGTGAAGTTTGTGTCTGGACACATGAACACCTTCCAGAGTTTTTTCCTTTGGTGATCTGTATTATCTAGAATGAGACTACCCTAACGGCAGCCTTACCTTTAATATCTTGGGAAGGCATCTGTAAAGAGACTACCTAACAACCTAACCACTGGGCACCTATGAATTGCTTTATAGAGTAATTCATGACAACTGCTTGTCTACATCGAGAAAGGTGTATCGCTGTCTCTCCGTACACCAAGGTGGTATGATCCAAACAGATGTAAGGCAGGCTCCCAGATTCCTCTGCAAGCTGAGAACGATCTTGACACTGATACCTCTGAGGGAAGCAACTTTGTCTTAGGTTCACTGGAAGATCAGAAGACCTTGAAAAATTACTATGATTATATTTACTTTAAGTCCATGCGACTTTTCAGGGCACAGATTTCCCCTGCAAAGAAGTAAAAATTTATTAATAAGCCAAAATAGTTTCACATTAAGAAACAGGGAGGCAGGAATGCTACTAACCTTGAGAACATGAAGACCAGCCTCTTGCTTTTTTCCTCCCAACTGCAAATCAGTCATCCACCTGACAGCAAGATTTTAATCTTTATGCCACATATCAGCAGTAATCATCTCACTTTTTATTTGGAATTTGTGAACAAGTATTCTGTTTATTAGCTTAATAAAAGCTCAAACGCATAGAGCTACGAACATCAGGCACCTCAGCACACACTAACACGCAGTTCCGCCCCATTTCAACTTTCTTCATGCTGTAGTGAAGACCACCAGGATTTGAGATCCATGGTGGAGATAACCCCAATGAGTATGAAGTCCCCACCATGCCACCATCACTTGCACTGTTCACTTGCTACCCTTACAGCTACTACTGGAAAGCACAGCTCTCACCATACTTACATCTCATTTACCTCTGGAACATGTCATTTACACTTCAGAGGTTTAGAAGTCCTCTTGGCTTCCTTCTCACAAGCATATCAGATGTCTTAACACAACACTGCATAAGCGGTTGTCCATGCATTTAGACTATACATGACTTATTTAAATAAGTAAGCAATTTAAAGTCCCTGAGTTACACATCACCTCCTTACACCATTTCCCCAGAAGTCATTGCGTGCTTCCTGGTTCACCAATTAGCACTGTTCTTCCATAACAGCACCAGTGGGTGATCTCATGAGGCATGCCACTCTCTTGTGTCTAAGACAAGTTTTGCTAGTTCCACTTGGAAGCAGGTTATCAGGATAGCATTTTACCAGACCAGAGGCAAAGAGCCGTCAGGCATCCAGGCACACAGGTCTCTAAACCTCCCTTCAGAAGTTTGTTGTCACTGCTGCTTCCATTTAAAAGAAAGTTCAGTATTTCAGACTAAGCAAGGAACTTTTGCCAATTAGAAGCAATTTTCAACAAATCATCACGATGGAGTACCAAAAGCAGAAGTATCAAATGTAAATAACTTGTAAACATTAGTGACATAGTAGTAGATTCAGTTAACATGAACAACCACAGAGACAACTCACAATTCAGAAATAGCCTTTTGTCATGAAGTCTTTATGGCTTGACAGAAAGAAAGTTTGATCTGTTTTTTGAAATGGTTAGTGCAAAATTTTTTGCAATTTTTTATTTGAGAGGTCAGCTAGAAGAAGAGTTAAACAGATGAATCCAGTATGACACCTCAGCTTCCACGTTGTTTTTGAACCTGATCTGAAATATGGCACTGGACTTCTATTTAGAGTCAAGGCATTTGTGATCTCAGAAATAAAACCACAGCTATTTTCCCCCAGAAGATGGTGGTTGCGGGGTTAAGTTCTTTAAGGGATAATTTGTATTTCATATAAAACAGAGGAAGGAAAGCTTAGCAGCTTAACAGCATCAGAAGAGCAGCTGTGTGCTTGGCCAGTACCTCTACAATCCACACATACAGCTTCATCTAATACATAATTCATTTGGAAAAGTGAATGAAGGAAGGAGAAGCAGGCAGCCTCATTGAAAAGATGGGTAATGCAGCATTTGAAAACAGTTCTTTCCTGGAAATTCAGACTCCTGCAAAGTAACCTTGGGCTTTTACACAAGGAGTGGCTACAAAGAGCATATTCCCTGATACTGTCTGAATTTAGATCCTCCTCTCCTATTTCACGCAAAGCAAGAATGAATATCCAAGCTTCTAACCAAAGCAAAAAAATCAGTGTCACTTTCCGTGACAGTGATAACGGTGTTTATGGAGAATTTTTAAGTAGTGTACACCTTTTTCGAATCAGAAGTCAAGCTTCAAGACACTCACCCTGTCTTCAATTTTCATCTGAGTTATCCATTCTCTGATTCAGGAGACACCACTAGGTGCTGGCACCACCATTTCCTTACACTTATTGCTTTCACAAGCTATATTCATTCCAAGGACACCTAGTTCACTAGAGCATCTTTGCTCTTCCCCTTCATTTCTCTTCCAATATGAAGAACTCCCATTAACCCTAATGGAAGTCAACATATGCACGCACAGGACATAATAGACCTTTTAAGGCTATATGGCTGACCAACAGAAACAGAAAAATACATAGATGTAACTGAAATTTTCTTCCATTTTGCAAAGGGTACCGAGTTTAATTAAGATTCTTCAACCCGTTACCCTTACTTTCTTAGATCCACCTTCTCCCCCTACCCCTTAATGTATGGGGAAGACTCACTGTGCTTCCCTAAGCAAAACAAGAAATAGATGACATCAAGTTTGCTCCATAGACCAAAAGGTAAAAAAACAACAAAGGACAAACTGGTTCACAGTTAACTATAAATAAAAGTGCAATAAGTGTTCAAGTAGAGTGTAGAGTTTAAGCAAGCTGTACAACCACATTTGGCATAGTCATCTTTTAAAGGCTCTGCGTGGGTCCCTCCCATTACTGACAGCAGGGAGAAAAGGCTGAACGCTATTAGCTGGTGCTGGATTTACAGGTCCTCGTCCATTGCCTCTCCCACTACCTGCATAAGTGTGGCCATGATTATACGTAAATGGAAATCCACTTGATTCAGGTCCAGTTTGTAAACCATTTCCTAAAAAGACAAAAAAAGGTTATCACAAGTTCCATGCACTGAAATCACTGCTCCCTTACATAAATTTAGCAACAGGGAACGCACAGAGTTTGCAGCAACCAGCAAACCCCGAGCACCAGAAGGAAAAGCCCCTCTGGCACTGCAAGACCCCAAACCACAGATTACCTTTTTCCTCCTCCCAAACTACCTCCCTTCCATCCCTAGCACCCCTCTCTCAACTAAAGCAAGAAGGGTCACAGAGTTGCATGCTGATTCAGAGTTGCACGCCCAGGAGAGAGACTGGAGCCTCATGAAACTAGACTGGTGCTTTCAGAAACATGCACTGGCTTGTAGGTCACACACCAAGACATTCCAGAGAGACAGCAGGGCAGCAGAAGTCAAGGAGAAACCAGCAAGAGAAAAGCAGGCTACATAAAGCTCCTTGCATCATTCCCCACTACCAGGCAACACAGAAGTAGAAAGCTGCCTTGTGAAGTCCAGCCACAGAAGCAATTCTGCTAGCGCCAAGTTCTCATGAACTTGAGCCTCATAAGCATCACTGCTCATGTTTTGCTGGCAGGAGGAGGGACAGAGCTGAAAAGGCAGAATGATGACAGGAAGCATGGGGAGAAGAGGAAGAGACAAAAGGAAATCATTGCATTTAGAGACCACACAAGAAGCAGGAATAGAAAAAAAGAAGTTTCAGAAGATACACACAAGCTCAGTGAAAACAGCTGTCCACCGCCCAAAATAGGGACACCAAGGAAGTACCTACACACTAATTGGGCTGAAAGCCTACTCGCCTCACCCTGGCACTGAGGAGACTGGCCTGAAAGCACTTCCCTTCTTTGCTCAGATTAATTCATTTTCAAGGGAACAGAAAGGGCTTGCAAGACAAGTAAAATAAGAGAAATTAAAATCATGTTGCTAAAGAGGAAGCAGACAGTCACTGAACTGAAGTGACACAGAGGTTTTTAACAGCAAGTTATGGAATCAGTTTGTTGTCATCCACCAGCAGGGCTTAGCTATACAACACCAGGTACGGAGTCTGGGCATCATGTAGGCAGGCCATAACTAAGGATCCCTCTCAGCTTACACCTACTCAAGTCCCTGAAGCATTTTCTTATTTAAGCTTCGATGTTTAAATACATCACAAAATGATCTGGCCAGGTCAAATACTGGAATTCAGACTACCGCTTCTGATTTGGGGAGCTAACCTGGCAGGAAAGCCATGGTGACTGGCAAGATTAAAGTAAGTAATTTTTAAAGCCAAAGGCCTCAGGCACTTTAAAAAAAAACAACCAGAATTTCACATGCTGCAAAAAACTCTTTGAAAGCATCAAAACAATTCAGGATCAGGCAAGCCCCTTTACATGTTACAGGCACCTTGGATATTCTGATCTCTTCCTCTCCTAGGGAACAAATCCTGAAACCATTATTCAGGAAACGTTTGTGCTTTTGTGCTTGCAGGTTCAGGCCCCAGCCTAAAAGACTTTTTAGAGCATAGTACACTTTTGCCCCAGAGTGGAGGACGCTTAGCAAGATGAATTTCTTTTTATTCCCATTAAGTGCTTCTCATCCTTTCACTTCCACAAAATGAAAAAACTTACCCAGTGGCCCGAAAGTACAAGAACCCATATTACTTGATGCAGAACTATTATTCTGTTCACCCTGTGCCTTCAGAGAAATGTAAGAAAAAAAAAAAGACATTGATCAGAGAAAGAAATTTCACATTTTACAGAAAGGGGCTGATTTTTTTTCCTGTGTTCTTATAGTGGCTCCACGTGGAATTTATCTGCTACTCTAATTATTGGCTCATTTTTATCTATATATCACTTCAAGTCCATTTTTCCAGAAGAGTCACATCTGATCACAGCCTAGTGTGAAGTATTCAGAACAAAGAGCACTTTATGCCAGAAGCCTCAGATGAGTTTAACATACCAGTTTGTTCTGCCCGACGTGTTCCGAGTTGGGCTCACTGAAGTTTGGCACTTCTGAGTATACCATGCAGAACCTGGGGAGAAATTAGGATTATCAGGAAGTTCTAAAGCCATCTTTTTTAACAGAGTTCTCAACTCCACAACTCAAAGAGCATATGTTCTTGACGTATCCCATCACCTAGAAACAACTTATCCAGACCCCACTGTTGAGACAGTATCCACAGGTACTAAAAAGCTCTTTGATCCCTTTATAGTCTTGTAGTAAAGCTGTCACATCTTCCTGGTGAGGGTGTTTCAGTCAAGCAGAGGGAAGTACACCTTTACTCTAGGAGGTAAAATGGCCTAAAGAAAACAAAAGGTGATGAAAGGGCTCCCTTCACCTCTCTCCCAGCTGCACAATCTTGTCCAGCACCCACTCACAAGGTCACCTGAGGCACAGAGTCACCCAGCCTGCTCCCAGACTGTGACTGCATTAGATCTCTAGGGGGAAAACTACACTCCCACACACTCCCATGCTATGGAGTGCCCCATTAACATAATAGCGCAGAGGAGTCCAAAACAGGGAATGAAATTCAAAGTATCCTTTTTCCACTCAAGGGGACTATGGAGGAACAGGCCCACCAACTCACCATATGGAAATTATGGCAGAGGGGAAGAAAGATTTCTATCATTATGCAGCTTGGAGTGGTTAAGCAGCAGTGGAGTTCCCACCTCTTGCTGGGAGGCACAACCCAGGTGAGGACTCACCTCACTCCAGCCTGATGGAGAGTAAGCCCACTGGATGACACTTCTGAGGTGATGTCTTTACACCAAAGAAGATCTGCAGACCATCCCTTACAAAATCCAGCTGAGCACTGGGCATTTTTGAACCTTCCGAGAAGAGAGGTGCCTACCCCGCAGTCCCACTTCCCTGATGACTACAAGGCCTCCCATGGCACTTTGTGCAACAGCGGAAGCACTCTTCTGGTTAGAAAATGTTGCTGGTTTTCCTGTTGCTTGTCAAATATGCTACTCCTGTTTGTTCTTAGTCAGAAGGAGTCGCCACCTCAGTTTGTGGGCAGTTTAAAGAAGGTTTAATGAGGTTTGCTTCTGTTTAGGTATGATTCACTGGAGTTACCTTTGTCTTCCTTCTTTGCACTGCCTGTCTCTCAAGCATGACACACACAAGGCTTCCACCAAAATAAAGTGGTTAATCAAGCTGAGGCCTAGGTAAGCAATGCAGATTAAGTCCCTTGTCATTTATACACTTCCTCTCTCTACGTAAATGCCAGCCCTGTGCCAATGACAGAGGCTGACTTTCCTCAATGTACGTAGAATCCAGAGAGGGTCGGAGTTCATTACTGCAACAGCATGTGGAAACTCACATCACAGTTGCCTGTACTGTGCCTATCCATGACTAATCAACACACTTTTGCTGCCCTAGCTTCCATTTACTAAGAGCCACCACATCTTATACTTACCATGATGCTCAGCTGAGAAGAGGACATTACGCCACAAGTATAAACACGCAATACTTACTCCCCAATTTTATGCAGCTCGCCTCCTCGTCCTGTGTAAAGTGTCAGGCATCCTTTCCACAGAGATGCATACCTGGCCAAAGAAAGGAGAAGCAAAGCAGTCTCTCTTACTGAATGAGAAATACCACTGTTGACCAAGAAAGTAGAAGCATGGTATCCTCCAAGAGTTAGTAAGTATTACACCTCAGCATGAATGGACTGAAAAAATTCCCAGGGATCCCAACTTCACCACGCTGAAATGTTACATGTTTTAATTCTAGCAAAAGGTACTGGAAGCTCAGCTGACTCCTTTGGCAATGACAGGAAACCAACTAATTATTTTGAGATTGGATGCTCTTTCCGTGGCTGGAGCAGCCCTTATGACTGTTCCTGCAGAGGAAAGGCATCTTGCCAAAAGCAGTATCTGTGTTACCATCCACTGACAACTCTCAGTTCTGCTTTCAGCAGAAGCCAGGAAGAATTACCTTTGTTCACTGGAGAATATAGACACTGCTACTGAATGTGTGTAGTAGAAAGTGCTTACTTCTTTAGTATAGGTCCTTACCAGATTTTTTTTTTTTAAAGGCACAAGTTTGACCATCATGTTCCAAGTGACATATAGAAATGCAATGAAATAATTTTGTGATTGTGGAAACATTCACATACAAGACAGCATGAGTGCACTCTAGTCTTTATAGTGGCACTTGACTTCAAGCACTGGAATGAGTTATGCAGAACTTTCTGTATAATTGTTCCTCTCGGTGAGGGGCATTGCGTATGTGAAGAAAATAATGAAAATACAGACCAGAAATTCAAGTGCAGCACAAGGGAGTTAACAGGAATATGGGTGTATTCTAGCAAAGGAATATGGAGCCCCAGCAATTGCACTCTCAGGAGTCACAGATAATCCGGACAAGTCACCACTTCCTCATGCTCTGGTTGTATCTCTGTAACATAGGTAACAAACCTTCCTCTTGCCCTTTGCCTTATCTGCTGAGACTGGGAACCATCGGACTGCACACAGGGCCTTGAACACAGGCACCAGGGAGGAGTCAGGGCAGCGGAACAGGACCATAATGCCAATGCAACGATAACCTTCTCTGTACTTCAACACAAGCAGCAAAGCATAGTATCCACAGTTACAATGCCTGTCTTGGGAGTTTTCCATGCAGAGGCAGGATTAATGCTCTTCACTCCATAATGCTACCTTTCACTTTAAAGATTCACTCTATGCTCAACCTTTAATAAACAGTTAGTTGTACAGTCTTGTGGCACAGCACAAAGGAAAAGAGCTACCAAATAATAAATATAAGTCAAACACACATTTAATGGGACAAGACCCAGCAAATCATGGGACTAATAACCTCCAAGCACAAAGTTATTCCACGTATGCAAGCATTTGTTTTTGTCTCAGAAAGAGCTGGCCATAAAGCACTGAACTCGAGAACTAACTTCAAATTTAGAAATATTAACTGCAACAACTTTCTGTAAACAGGTTAATCAGCCAATGACAAAAATCAGCAACAGTGTCTGCTTTTGCAGAGGAATGCATCTACAGCTTGAAATTCAGTAGAAAAAAAAAAGACATGTTTACACATGGGGCCTGGCTAAGCTTTTCTACTTGTAACAGTGAGCATCCTGCACTGAAAAGTCAGATTAGCCTACAGAGCTGAAATTTACCTGCCTTGCAGTGGCAACATCACACACTCGAATTAATCCTATTTGAGCCGAGTATAAAATTGTGTTTGGAGAACCTTGTATGCCAGCATGAGGGCATTTTTCTTAATATGAGAGCCAAACGAGAATGTATTTAGCTTTTGCCATTTCACTCGCTACGCAGCCTTAAGTGAGCATGCAATTCATGTAAATGAAGGCATGACTTAGCCACCCACCAGGAATAGCAATGTCAGCTCATAAATTTAATTCATATAAGCCAAACTCACTTTTTGACATGAAGGGATGCAACGACCCTCCCATTTGGTGCACTGAAACACCAGAGCAGCTACAGTAAGCCAGTCACAGAGCAGAGTACTGTTACCAGTGCTGAACAGTATCGCTATTAATTTGTTTCAATGTCATCTATGCAGAGAGCTTTGTGCTGACCCAGAGCTCTGGTTTCGTCCCACCCACCTCAGCACCCCAGCACTCCACATGCCCTCCACGCAAGCAGGCTTCCCCAGAACCACCTCTGCTGAGGAGTCAGCCCATTTCGTGTAAAAGGACATTTGCATAGGAGGAAGCAGCTGTAGTTTTGGTGGCAAGGGTCATCCAATTTCACTCCAAAACCAAGAACTGCACTCAGATGAACAACTTAAGAGCCGCTTGGTTAGCGGCTCCACTGAGTAACCTTTTACGTACTTTTCGATAAAAGCCAATTAAAAGGACCTTACACACGCTGTAGTTCCACCATCTCCTGGAGTGCTGTAGGCCAAAGGATCAGTGTAATGGATTTCTAAGTGTAACCTAACTGGTATGAAGAACTCAAATGAAAGTGACTATCACTTTGCTGCTTACAATTTAAGTGACATGGAAAAGGATTTTCAAATTGAAACTAGTATTCTTTCTCACAGATAATAAACATAAGTTGGTTTGGTTTTGTTGTTTGTTTTTTTTTTAAATTAAGCCAGCTCCCTCAGATAAATGAACTGCACCTAACCAAACTAACATGCTCTACAGTGTAGCCCTAGTATGAATTTTTATAGTGAATTTGGAAAGCTCCTCCTCCTCTGCCTGTCATTTCTGTTAAACCCACTGCAATGAAAAGCAACTTTTCTGCATGAGAGACGTTAATCATTCCCTCCTTTCATTAAGGAGCTGACTGCTGGAGTAAAGAATTGGCTGTAAAAATAAGAACATCCTTTTGACTTCCCTGCTTGATTTACAGACCAGGACTGACTGTTGCCTTTCCCTCCCACCCCAAAAAGAACTCCTCTTTTTAAAGCCAAGCCAGGTCTCCCAAACGCCACCTCCTCATTAAAAATACAAGCCCTTCCTAACCATCCGCCGGTTTGTATGCTCATGCTGGGCATGTTCTGGGGCGGAAAGCGCCGTTTTAATTTGGCAAGTGACCTCAGGGTGCTGCCTCCGTAAGGGCGAGCCGGACCACAGGGGGCCAAGCCGTGTCATCCGTGCCTCTCGACGGGCGGCCGAGCCCGACCACAACGCGGCACCTTCGCCTCGGTGACAAAGGGCTCCCCCCGACCCGGCGCTGCCCGGCAGCGCTCGGCCGGGCCGGGGAGCGGAGCGGGGGCGGCGGGCCCGGCCCCGGCCCCATACGCACCCTTTGGTCAGGCGGATGATGTCCCCCGGCTGGATGAGGCCGCCGATCTCGTCCCACACGGAGATGGTGATGCTGCCCGTCTTGTCCGCCACTTTGCAGGACCTCACCTCGTGACCGTCCTTCGTCTTGGTGACTCGCCCTGCGGGGAGAAGCGCGGCTCAGGGGGGACCGGGGGGGGGGGGGCGCGGCCCCCCCACCCCCCCCCCCCCCCCCAC